CGCAAGCGGTGAGCACAACAGTAGTGGTGTACTTCAAGCCACATTGTTCGTGTGGGCATCAATGTGGTCATGGACTAATGCTGCACCAGCACCACAGAGGCCTCACCACAGTCTCGTTGCCTGGATATCCTCTCCCATTCTCATATTTTGTGGCCAAATGAGGGATCAACCGCTTCAGTGTCTCAGCATCTTGGATTACTATTCCAATGCTCTGTGAATCGCGGATGATGTGCATCAATTCCTCTGTAGGTGCTGACGATCCTCGCACCTGCCGATCACAAGGTCGTGATTGCGATTGTACTGTCAATTCGTAATCGAATCGTCATGCCAAAATCTATACAATGCAATACTGGAATCCCCAAAGATGTGGCTTGTGATTGAAATGGGCACTTGACAAAAACACAGCTCTTAACTCACCGCGTCAATCGCCCCATTCATGAGAATTCCTTGATCAGCGACTATCCATCTCCCAGAGTTCTCGGATATGAGTGAAACCTGCGCATACCAGCCCATTTGGTGATCCTCAGACAGTTTCAAATGGCTTGAAACCGTTCAGTGCGACACAGGTTGTGGGAATGTATCCTCATACCATTTATAAATCCAAACATGTAGAATTTGGTCAATCATTGTAGAAACGTGGGACCCGTCCGCACCATGGTATATGCAATTGCATTGGAAAATGATTGGCATAACCAAGAACTGCAACCCAATAAATTCGTGTCGATTGCATGTTTACAACCTAGCGAGTGACTGCATTTTCACCTGTTGAAGACTGTCAGAATGCAACCTGAACAAGCAAATTGTTCTACTTGCACCCAGATTCCTTGATGCTGAATCCCAGATCCTTGCTTCTTCCTGTTGGATTTGGGCACAAGGTGGCAGCATTTGTTGCATAACAATGCCATTGGTACACATATGGTCAGCGAATCCGGGCAACTATACCGTGTTCATGACTGATTCTTGACAATCAGCAGCTCAGTTCTTCTGCCATGTTAATGTCCGTTTCAACACTGTCGTTGCGATGTTCATCAACAGTTCACTTGCCACCCAACCAGTGCCGAATGTGTGTGCTCCCCTTCATGGCGCTCGCTAGAGTGCCCACACTGCTCTTACCCATACATTTCTGTAAATACTCCCTCTCCCAACCCCGAGGGGGCAAACGACGCTTCTCAAAGAACGCTTTTACATTTTTGGCAGCCCCACATAAGAGAGCAGGTCAGCAAAAATGGCCTGGATTCGCTCCACATCACAGTTTGCTGCGATTCTGTCGCTGTGGCGGCAGGTTGGAAAATGTGGATTCTCAAAGACCGCCCGAACGACACGATTCAAAGGTTCTCGCATGCATTCTGACGCTCGGAACTTGCCTTGTCGCCCATTGCCAGCCCAATGGACCGCAAACCAGCCGCGAAGCTTGTGATTTCCTCTTCCAGTTCCCTGCCGCCACATAACGAATTCGGTGAGCTGAATATACCGTAGTATATTCAAACCTTTCGCATTTAGAAATTTCAGCATCAGGATTTCGCTCCGCATTTTTCCGAAAGACCGTTATTTTCGGGAGCTCCACACCATGTTCACAGCCAGAATGGCGAATTCGCTCAGTTCAAATGGCCTCAAATGCCAGTACAGTTGTATACGCAACCTCTCCGCATAGTAACGTAACGCTTGCCCCTCTCGTGCGGAGAAAATTAATAAATATTAACGCAAAGTTTGGCACATTATCGAGGAGCGACGTAAAGAAAATAAAATAACGCTCTGAAAAGAATAGGCGGAGCAAAAAGTGCATCGGTAAAATTTTCTGCCGCAGAAGGTTTGAATATTCTACAGCAGGATGAATAATGAGTATGCCTGAATAAGCCAATACCTATGTTGCGAGGATGGAAGAATCCTCGATTTCGCCTGCTCGGACACAATTGGGGAGGACCCGACCACAATGGTGGTGTAATTGGTCAGAATGAAAGCATGTGACAAACCAGCGCGGCGGCCGGTGCCCCCCCCCCCCCCCTCACCTGTAGTTCATCCGTACAACCTGACTACGGTTCAAATCCAGCACCGCTGCGACATCGCCAAGCCTACGAGCATTCCGGCTCCACCTGCAGCCAAAACCCCAGAACCACCGCCACTGTGAGACCGGCCATCACGCGCCGGCAGGCGACGCTTGCAGGGGACGAACTGCGGCCCAGCAATGCTCGGGTGTGTCAAAAGTGGCGCATAGCCGAAGGCTATTCGTCTGGCTACTGTGAGGCACGCCCACGCCCCGCGCAAAGCTTTGATGGGCCAATGGGGGGCCAATGTGCGGCCAAGGCCACACTTCCAGGGGCGGCCAGCGCCGCCAATCCACAGAATGGAAACAACCGATTCAATGTTCATGTCCGCATTCGCACGCGATACGCTTCTCCGGCAGATCAAAACGGGCCGCACAGAAAAGGGCACGCGCGACCATCGCGGGGTCCTGCAAGCCCAACATCCAGGCGGGAGCGATGCGCCACTCACATCTCGAAAACCGTCCTGCACTCCTCCTGCGCAGCACCTTCCCTTGGATGGCTCTCGGAGTCAGCGGCAACCGTGCCCTGCCCAGGAACCCTTGTTGGAAACTCGCCGTTCAGAGAGTCGCAGAGCGCATGAGGAGCCAATGGCGAACGACGGCACCAACCTCAACGGCCTGGGCGCGGAGGACGGGACAGGGCCGCCCACTGTTGGACCCGGCGTCGACATTGGACATTGTCTCACAGCGTCCACCACCTCTGGCGGCGGGTCGGGAGGCGACTCTCCTTCTTGCCGCGCGCTCCGATGTCGGCCGCCAAGACAGCGGAATCAGGCCTCCAAAGGCCGTGGGCGACGACTCCCTGGGCAACGGGACTCGCATGCAGGGCATTCTCACCCGGTCGGGGGAGGGCGCCCATGGCCTCTGCGTGCGCATCAGAGGCCGCGTGGGGATCAACAGCGCGACGAGCGAGCGCGAGCTCACGCCCGCGGGAGGGCGCAGGCCGGAGGCTTTTCGGCAGGCAGTCGCCCAACCCTGCGGCTGGAGTTGTGAGACCCAGGGAATCTTGACGCCGGTCTCGCAGGGGCCCACCCATTGACCCCGTCCCTATGGGAGGACAGATGTGTCATCGTCACTCCCGATGCGGCCCCACGTCACTGCACCGTTTTCCCGCTCGTGGATCCGTCCCCACATCAGCGCCCCTGGCGCGGCTCAGCCCTGTCGGTTCTCTGTCCGAAGGGAGGGCGTCGACGGCCCTTGCTGACTGGAGCGGACGGGGCGCTGGCCGCGATCGGTGAGTTGAGAAGCGAGAGCGGAGGAGGGGTCGGCGGCGAAGACGCCCGGTCTCGGAGGAGTGGGTGAAGGACGCGGGGCACTGCACGGAGATCGCCTGGCGGTTGGCGCGGGTGGCTGGCGCCTGGCGTCGCGAACTTTAAGATCCGAAGGTGGTGCAGGTGAGCAGTGAACTTTTGCAGCCAGTCAAAATGCGAATAATGTTGACGTCTGGTGGGAAGTGCCACTGCGGAGCAGAGCAACGGGAGGGGCTCAGTTGGCAAGGACAAGCTGATGCCTGCCACGCATTTTTTCTACAAGACTGGCCACTTGCTGTTGGGGACCGATGCAGCTCGACAGAAGGGTTGAAACCGGCTTTTCCACGAATCAAGTCGAGATAGTGTGGGGGATACCACCACTGGGTGGTGGAACTTTTGCAGTGCAACGCATGGGAATCTCAAGACAACTGACTACAAAACGTTTTGTTCAAAATATCCTTGAGGTGGATTGGAGCAATGTTGCGGATGCATGCAACTGGCAGCCACTGGCACAAGTGGATGCAGCTTGGCAGCCTATGACACATTTGCACCCACTACAACTGCTGCAGTTTGCGCAGAATCGTGTTCCTCTGATATATGCATTGATAGTTTCACAAACTCTTGCTCTGGCATCGGGCAGCACCTTCCCTGAAGGCCATGAGTGCCTGCTTGTGTGCATTTTTGCTTGCCCTTTTTCTGTCGTGGATTCTGGGCATGGGCTCCTTGTGCTTGGCTGCTGTAGACGAGCGACCATGCTCAAACACATTCAACACTTTGCGCAAGTGAAGATAGAGCCGTACCTTGAAAGGTTGTACTCACCACAAACATCATCTGCACCGGTTCAAGAGAGCATTATGTTTGGAGAGCAACTGGCAAGAACATGGACCGAAAATGCGATGGGCTTCTCTTGAGCCCCAGTGCACTGCAATGCTGAATCAGATGGAGGAATACCAGGACAATGCCTCGCTGGATCTGGAGGTCACAGTGCACGATCGAGAGCTTGCTGTCCAAGTGAAAGAATCTGCACTTGCCCGAGCTGCAAGTGCTGCCCGAACAGAGGTTCTTGCTGTTCGGAGAGAGAAAGAGACCTTGGCAGTTGATCTCAAGCAGGCCAGAAGACACATAGAAGAGCTCAAGCAGCAATGCGGAATACTATCTGACAATCTTCAGAGGACATTGTCACAGATGGAGGCATCAACCACTGCTGTCGCTCAGGGGGAAACCTCTGCAAAGTTGATAGCAGTGCAGGATGAACTCACTGCTGTCAAGGAGAAAGCTGTGAGCGAAGGTCTGTTGCGATGAAGAATCGAGTCTTTCTGTTGGTGTGTGGAATGTGAAGGGAATCATGCTCATATTTTTTGCAGAAGCGATGTTGCCACAAATTGCTGAAATGCTGAAGTTGTTCACCTGTGTCCAGTTGGCGTTCTTGTAGAGCTTCAGCTTCCTTGCAGGTGGTGAATGATGTTTGGATCTTCTAACGTCCTCAAAACATCAGCCACACCAACGTTTTGGAACTTGTCAACAGTTTCATGGTCTGAGAAAGAGGCGAAGTTTGCTTGGAATTGGCCCAATGCTGTACTCATTGGCTCGGTTCATGTATCTTATAGTTGCACAGTGCTTGACAGCCCATGCTGTGCATTTGCTTGTTGACAGTTACTTGGGGCGGCCGCCAATGTACAAGTCTACAGGCTAGTACTGTAAGTATGGCTGCATCCTAATGTGCTTTCGTCATTCCTGTAATGCTGAAGTCCTATGAGCCATGCAAAAGTTGCAGCCTGGCATCTATGCTTGAAATTGGGCTCTTTGGTTTTGTACTTTTAAGACATGTGGACAGCTGAACCTTGACTCCTGTTGCAGAGCGATGGTGCACATCGAACTGGTATGGTGACATCTGGTCGATATTGGCTGCCAGCACCAGAGGAAAGCAATTTGCAGCGAATGGCAGATATGAAGCAGACACTCGAACAACAGATTGGATTGCTGAAAGTGAGTTCTGAATGAAGCCCTGTTGCTGCTGTACAACATTTAGTTTCTGTTTCTTGCTTGCCCCTCTGGCAAGGCTTGAAGTGCCAACGGCATTCGTACATTGTTGGCTTGACACTTTACCAGACCTAAGCTGCAGGCAATATCTATTTTGCAGGATCAGCTTGGCAATGTCTGCCGAAACAATGCTTGCGGCAGTGCTGATGAGGTGATGGAGCTCCTCAGACAATACAGACTGACAAAAGAGAAGCACAGTGCCACTTGTGCACAACTGAGCTTGCAGCACAGCAGAGTGAGTTCTTTGCTGTCTTTTCTGGTGTACGTCCTGATGGGATACCCTTGAATTGGTTTGCATCCAGCAAGCAGGTTCTTTTGTCATGCATCCTGTATCTGCCTTGCGCAGTGCAGCCTTTGACTACCCATGAATTGCTTGAGATATTGTGTAATGTTCATCAGTTTGAGCAAAGGATTCTTCTTGCATACAGCAATGTGCTTAATTAGTCTTTTCTAGCTTCTATTGACCGAGGCCTGTGATGCTGCTTTGCTGATATCATTTTGACCAATTTGCACCCCTGTCTTGCACAATGGATTTTTGAGGGAGGGGTAGAGTACCGGTCAGTGCATGGTTCAAGTTGCCTTTGTGTGGATGCAGTGTTCCCTTGCATGCAACAGTGCAAAGTCACAGAGACAATAAGTGTAGCCCGAACATCAACATCTATTTCAGAGTGTTGGCTGTTTGGTCCTGGGATGAAACTTGCTGTGTGGAGACTGGAGGTCATGCAGTTCTGGTGTGTTTTTTTCCTTTGATGTTGGACAAAAAGTGCTGCTAACTCCTCTTGTGCAGGTCGAGAAAATGGAATTCGAATGCCAACAGGCACAGAAGAATTTCTTGGAATTGAATGAAAAGGTGAGGACTTTTATGGATAGAGCTTCTATGATAGAGGGTCTTTCTTCAGTATGCAGCTTGGTCATAGCTTTGCTGTCGTGGACACCAAGCAAAATTGGGTTAAACTGTGGTTGCAGCGGACAACAGCCAAACATTTGATGCATGTTGGGCCGCAGAGTCAAGTATTCTGCTTCACAGCAGACCTGAGCCTGGAAGCGGTGCAAATGATCTGGATAGTGGATTTTGTGCAGGCAGCTTGCACTGAGTCAAGATGGACAACCAAATGAGGGAATGAAGCCACTTGTCAACACGATTGACCAGTGTGACTAGGATGTTGCTCTGGCCCTTGTGTCTGAGTCATTACCCCATGACCAAAGGAGTTTTGTGCTTCTCATGCAGTTGATGCAAATCTACAAGGCATTGGATGCTGAACGTCGGAGGGGTTGCTTGGATGTTTTGCAGCAACAAGGCAAGTGACAGCATAGCAGAACCAATTTGCACTTGGCAGGTTGTTATGGTAAGTCCTCACAAGTTGTGGTGCGCAAAATCACAATGGTTGTGCCTCAGATTATGAATGCTGTTCACGCATGGCAAGGCATCCTTGTATTGATGCACATATATGTGTGCACATGTTTTGCAGATTGGACGCCAGTTGTGCACTACCAGAATATTGCCAACCACAATGGTGTCCCTGTGTCAACGGTGCAGCGCATGAAAAGAAATTGTGCAGTGCAGTTGTGCACAAGCATTGAACCATAGGAATCAGCGCTGTAGGTGATGCCTCTGTGTGCATTGTGCTGATGCCCTTAATGTTCCAGGTTGCAGCCTTTCTGATTCCCAATGTGTGGTGGTGGTTCTTCCTGTTTGCTGCTGTCTGCTGCTGGTTGGGGGAGCCCTTAAAAGGCCACAACCATGGTTCACGGCAGCTGGATTGATTTTTAGGTCAACGGAGCATTTTGCTGCTGTAGTAGATACCCAAAGCTTCCCTATGCAAGTTCTAAGGCAGAAGTACTATAGCATAGGCTCAGTGAACTGCCAGCTCCTGCACCTTTCAACATGGGTGAGTCGGGTCAGTGAGTTGTATTCTCAAAAACCTCAGTGGCTATTTTACACGGTGTCTTTTTCCTTGCAGATTCCAGAATTCGCCTTGCTCCTGAATACGTGGAGAGTTTGGCACACAAAGCCCAGGCTGAAGCTTATTCTGCAGAATTGAGCAGGTGATGATGTTCAATGATGTGGAGATTGATGAGGCATTGTCAGTGCACCAATTTGCGCCAGTGATTGTCAGCACCAATCCACTCACCTGATTGAAACCAGATGCGCCCTGCGAAATTTAGTGACCGCCATATCTGATTGGGGTCTTGCTTCCCTTTCTTTTGTTCAGGTGTTTGGGCGAAAGCTGGCGTCACTGCTCAGACCTTGAGTGTCAAGTTGCTGTGTTGAAACATGAGCATGCTTGGTGCCGTGTGGACAACGCTTTCACTCGTGCACAGATGAAGGAGCTGAGGCTGCATCTGTTGTCTCTGAATGAGGTACTTTTCTGTTTTCAACCATCCAATTCTCCATGGGCTTCCATTTGCTAGTTTTGTCAATTGCACATAACAAGTTCCAGGTCACGCACCTGGAGTGGCGATGATGGCATATTGTTGTGGTGTGCTGAGCAGCGTTTGCATGAAAGAGAGGCTCAGCTGGTTTCTGCCCACGAGGAGCTACAATTGAAAGAACAGGCAAGGAAGGAGCTTTCTTTACTGCACTTGTAAACCTACATAATGTCCTGACTCTGAACTCATGCAGAAGGCCATAGCAGTTAGTTGGCTTGGTATTGTTTGCTTGTCACACACTGTCTTAGGTGCCTTTGGCACAGTGTACTGCTCCTTTTCTGTTTGGCTGCCATCCACTGGTGCAACTTCCATGAATATTCACCTTGCAAAGTAAAATTGCAGCCTGTTGTTTCCCAGAAACAGTTCCCTAGGGTGTGTCGACGAGAATGATCCCTGGATGACCTGATGAAGTGTGTTGATTCGTCACAGAGCCTGAATATGGCAAATGACGATGTACATCGCTGCACTGAGCAGTCCGAACTCTACAAGAAAGAGATTTGTCGGTTGAAACAAAGAGTGGAGGAGCTTGAAGATGGGGAGACTGAGCGCTTTCAAATGCATGCAAGGTGATCGGTTGCAAATCACTTCTTATTGTTGACTTCTGATGTACAGACACAACGCTTTAGACATACTGTCGGCCTGATGTTGAAGCAATGTGGCTGGAAGACCTTGCACAAGGAGCAGCTGACAAGTTCATCCTGACAGGATGCCATGCACACAGTGTGTGTAGGGTGTACTGCATGAAACATGGTCAATCGTCTGACCTTTTGCATTCAATATTGAAAAGAAGATGCTGGAAGATAAGGATCAAGACTAGTATGTTTGATTGGCAGTGGCCTGGGAAATTTCACCTGCTCACAGCATTGTCACTTTTTGATGATGCCATTTGTTGGCACCAACAAGTTGAGCAGATGTTTGAGTTAGAATTTGCAACCCATCACCACATCATCCAGGATATAGAAAGCGAGAAATCCACCAGACTTGGACAACTGAGCTCGAATCCACCTTCTGCAGTGAGGCCCAGGGTCTTCAAACGTTCATATTCTACATACGAATTTGCCTTTCACAGCAGATGAGCAGTTCGTTTCCTGCATCAACTGTCCAGCTTGCCATCAATGTTGAGAGCCTGTGGGCACTGTCTCTGAACCCTGTAAGCAGCATGCTGCAGAGTCACTTGTGCACTGTATTAATACTCCTTGTTTTGCAGAGTGCAAGAACAGGGAGTTGCGATGATGCAGGAGTCGCCACAGACACACCAGGTCAGGACTGCGTAGTGCAGATGCACTTTGCAATGCAGTGAATGTGCCTGCTGCAGTGTACATCAACCTGTCGTTGTTTGATTGCATGGGACCATGCCACTGAGCACAGGGCAGCATAGCACATACATAACTGAGCGCTGACACCACTTCAGCATTGATGCTGTCGGACACTCAGCCAGCACAATTGTTAGATGCTTAGGTTGTCCACAGTGCCCTTGACACGTAGTGGTCGTGAACAGCCCTATTTCTGCTATTCCCATCAGGCGCAGCAGCTGATCCAATGGCCACTGTTTAGGTCATGAGAATTCTCTCATTTTCATGTTCCCTCAGACACCACCCAACCTGCACAGGAGTTTGAGGCACCGTTGTTCGCGAAATGCCGTGTCTGGCAACACAATGTGCAGCTCAAATTTGCCATTTGCATGTGTTGTGTCGACCCTGTGTTGAAGCAAGCTTGCTGGCGATGAGTTCAACTTCTGCAACAGGTGTCATTTTGCAATGCCCACTGGTTGCAAGCTGCTGTTCGCAAAGGTCTGGTGGCTATCAACAGCATTGTAACGAAGTGTACGGCCCTGCAGATGGATGCAGGAAGTGAACGTTCCGATGGAGGGACAAGTCAGCTGTCTGATGACATTCAAAATCATCTTTCTGGTGTGTCAACAAGTGTGGCATCGAGGGGGCTGGATACCTCTCGTCACAGTGAACCATCCTCTCTGGGTTTCTGGCACTGCCGTTGGGTGCAAGCTGCCACCACAAAAGTTGTTGTGCTGGGTTTATTTGTTGTGCCGTAGCGCGTTCAAAGAAAGCGCGAACACGTCGAAAGCGGCGTTGCACCATTCTGTGAATGGAGCGTTCGCCAAGACTGCTGTAGGGCTGGTGGCCTTGGCAGTGCTTGTTTCAAGGAACTGTGCACAATTCCTGGCCACCTTGATGACCAGCTAGAATTGTGGTTGAAATCGATGTCAATTGGATAAATCTTGCCGTAATTCTGCACATATCTGTTCCAAGAAGATCTACAGTTGAGAACTGCCATTGTTCTGAGAGCAGCTACTTTCACATCGAACAGGGACGTACCCCAATACAAGGGTGCTAAGAGATACTTTTTGACAAATTTAAGACCCAAACACAGGCACTCATACATTAATATCTGTCTGGAGCAGGAGCATGAACTGTGCTGTGCTGGCAACTTCAGTACACGTGCTGAGAATTTTAGAAATTTGGTATGATGACACCACAAGGGATATGCCATGTGTTTTCAAAGCTGAAGTCAAGGATGCCAGGTCACAGACTTTGTAGTGAACCATCCTCTGTCACCTACCAAACAGTTTCAGGGTTCAAGCTTTGAACAACCACAGTAACTGCAGTGAAGTGGTGAAGTAGGCATGTCTTGATCTAAAGAGCTGCCTTTGTCTTTGCTCGCTGACATGTGTGCAGGCGGTAGACTGGCTGTGGAGAGCAGTTCTCAGGGAAAATCAGCAAGAGGACCACGGATCGCAGTTGAATGTCTTTCCTATTTCCTCTATAAGATGCTCCTGTCTGTGCCAGCTTGGGAAACATACCATTAATATGCATAGATTGTGATGAGTCAAGGGCACATCCAGGTGCAAGCTGAAGCCGGGTAGCGCTGGTGTCCTTCATGCGATTCTGTGGCTTGACCGATCAATTGTGGCTTTGACGCCTAAAATTAGGGCAGCAAGTTTGTCACAGATCCACTGCTAGAACAATTGTTAATGGGATGCTGTGTGTTGATGGCCATTTGCCACAGTGTTGGTCCTCAATGATCGCATCTGCCAAGGAAGGACAAATCAGTTGCGGTTCAATTCAACTACAGATGTACAGCGGATCTTCCATTACATTACTGTTGCAGATCTCGTGTGATATACTGAGATGAGGCCACAGGGGCTGTCATTAGCTATATTGCAGTTATTTTGTAACAATGTCTTCTACCTATGTGCTGTGACTATTGCGACTCGTTTCACGACCATAATGCCAAGCTGCGGTGTACCCTGCTCAGTTTGACCCACACCGCATGAGCTGGGGACTGTTGTATTTGTTCTGGAGGCGGTGATGTTCCATGGGTCACGACAGAGCCAGGTTGCCCCTAAGCCAGGGATGTGTCTGTCTGCTGGTCCACGTTGACAACCTTGTCGAAAGCGGTATGCATCTTTACATGTTCACACGTCTGTACACACAGATGAGTGTACAGCCAGAGTCACATACCCGCATATACTTGCTTAGAATATTGTGTATCTCAGCAATCTGCACTGAGCCATGTACAGCATATGTACGCACATTGATACGTGTGAGAATGGAAGAGGCATGTTCATGTGTAGCTACGCATTAGTAGAAGCACACGTCCATGTTTGTGGCAAGCCTGCGTGTTGGGGCCCTTGTCGCATGAGCCAGGGTAGATTGTATGATGTGCAATGACGCGCACCGATGACATACTGCGGATGGTCATCTCAAATTATCACCATGCAGCCATTCAAGGGAGCATATTTTGTGCTTCAGTATTTTGTTCTGTTAGTCAACTTGAAGGTTGGTCCCCCTTGACTGCATGTAATCAAGGGGTAGTAACGTTCAGGCTGACTGGCTGTACAGCCAGACCAGGCTACTCGAACATTACTTGTCCACTCCTCTGTCCTGTCACGCGGAGACCCGTGCACGTGTGCATGTGTGCTCTGATGGCGGGGGCTTGGGGCGCCGAGCACAGAGAGCCCACTGCCTGTGATCTGAATTTTAGTAAGGACGCATGACTTGGACAATGTGTCGTATTTTCGCGTTGGTTTTGGTGGCACGTCCTTTCATGGATCCCACTGGATCCATTCTCCGCCCAACAGGCTGCCCGGATCAAATATTTGCTGTGTCATTGATTACTTGTGTCAACCCTCCAGATGCCGTTCAGCCCCGCCTTACAGCCCCCCGGAATCTGCTGGTTGCAATCAGAGATGGACCCAGCGATTCACTTGGATTACGTTTGACTATGCTGCCTGCGATTAGTGGCGGCCGCTCGGTTGCCGGAGTCCGCCATGGGGACATCCCTAGGCCTTGCCGGCGACCTGCGACCACTGCTGATCCGCCGCGCGGAACTGCCCTTGTCGGCTTGGAGCACGGCAACTGATCGGGCCGCTGCTGTTGAATCTGAGCACCCGCCGCGATAAGTTGGATGATGTTCGATCGAGCCGGTAGGCGCTGGATCCAGGCGCAGCGGATGAGCAACTGACTGGTACGGCCAGCGAGGGGCTCCGGCCGGTACTGCTTCTGTGGCGGGTTTGCTGGGAGGGCGCCCGCCAGCGGCGACTGCGGGCCAGACCGTGGGATCCGTAGCCCAGCCGCTTCGCTCTTGCGCGCGCCCGTGCAGCGGACGGCAACGAAATGGCGCACCGCCCTTGAACCCTTAGGCTGCGACTGACGTCGCGGGAAAGAAGGGAATGTTGTGCGAAGGAGGAGGCATTGTTTTCGCACCGCGGGGGGCGGAGGCGCACGCGAATGGGATTCCTTGGCCAATGGGTGCGTGCTGTGGACCCCGCCTGTAGGGACTTGCGCTTGTGGGGCGGCCACCGCCTGAGGAGGGGGGCATGAGCAACCAGGTCGAGGTGGCGGACGCAGTGGGCTTGATGCCTGCGGGCGGGGACATGGAGGGCGGCTCCCCGACGATGGGGTCGCTCGCGCCGGACGTCGGCCAGCACCAGGCGAGCGTCAGCACGCTGCTGTCCTCCTTGCTGGGGGCGGGGGGGCCCGTGGGGGCGCTGGACCAGCCGGGGGGCCCAAAGGTCCTGGGGCTGCCGGCATTCCAGATAGAGAACGGCCCGGCCGACCACAGCGGTGTGCCCCAGCTGTACCTGGAGTCCGCCAGCGGCGGCCCCGTGGAGGTGCGCGGCCCGGCGCCGTTGGCGGACGGCCGGCAGCAGATGGCCCACTCCTGCGACCTGGCCGCCCAGGAGGGCGGTCTGGACTTCGCGCCCGTCCAGACCGCCATGGGGGCCGGCCCGCGCGCCTCCTGCGGCCTGGGTCCCGTCGTACAGGACCTGGCCCTGGCGCGGAGCACGTCCGCGGACGCGGGCGTGCTTGCGGCCGCGGCCCTGCAGTCGCTGCCCGACTCCTCTGTCCTGTTCGCCGGCGTGGACCGCCAGCTGCCGGAGTCCGTGGTGACCGCTCCGGGCGCGAGGCTGGACGGCGACGGCGGACGCGCGCTGGCGGTGGACCCCCGCACGGGGCACGTGCACCTGGTGGTGCAGGACCTGCAGGCGCTGCCCAACAAGGGCTTCGCGTTGCCCGTCAAGGTGGAGAATAGGATAGGGTCGCCGCCCGCGAGGGGCGTGGCGGTGCCCGACCTGCGCCACCTGAGCAACCTGGTGTCGGGCGTGGCGGGCCAGGAGGCGTCGGGCGGCGTGGGCGCGGGTCACCTGCTGCACCACCACGCGGTGCACCAGCCGCAGATGCAGCGGCCGCACAAGCCCACGCGATGGAAGCCTAACTCCGCGCAGCTGTGCCTGCTGGAGAGACACTTCAACTCAGGTGGGCGGCGCGGCGGGAGGCCGGTTCCCCCCATGCGCCGGCGGCGGGCCCGGCGGTGGGACGCGCGTGGTTGGCTGCAGTACTGGGGCTCTTGCCCGGCGCGCCGTCCTGTTGGGAAGGCGGGAAACGATCGTGCACGTCTTGACGGGCGCAGGTTACAAGAGGCCGACGCCCGAGCTGTACGCCGCGGTGAAGGGGGCCGGGGAAGCCAAAGAAGCGCAGGTCTCCGTGTGGCTGAAGAACCGTCTGGCGCGCTCGAAGGACCGATCGCACCAGGGGACCAAGGTGGGAGGCGATGAAGGGGAAACTGTCGTACGCCGAAGGGGTTCCCCTGCTCGCTTGAGGGACGTCTTGCGCAGGCTGTCGGCCACTCGGGCGATCCATTGTTGCGTCGCGTTGATGGAATGCTTGTTGACCTCAGCTGACGGTGGTCGTCGCGGTGCCCAGCCGTCCAAGCCACCGGAGTCGGGTCCTGCCAGGGGTCCCCCTTGTTGCGCTGGCCCTGATCGTCAATCGGAGAATCTGTTGCCGATGCTGGGACAGAAGAGGGCAAGGGAGGAAGACGAAGAAGAGGTGAGGAGCGTGAGCGCACAACTGCCACTGACCCGCGGTTCTGTCTCTTTGCTTGGCTCACTGACCCTTCCGGACTGCTTTTTTGTCTTTGAACAGTCATGGGACGACTACCAGAAGATGTCGCAGGCTGCTCTCAGGGAGGTGGCGTCGGCAATGGCGGCGGTCGATGGCGACGAGGTGTCGCAGCTGGTGAAGGACGTTTGCAGCGCAAGGAAAGTGTGCTGCTATGGTGTGGGCCGCGAACGCTTGGTCATGAAGGCGCTGGCGCTGAGGTTGTGCCACATGGGGCTTGATGCCTGCGTGGTTGGTGAAGCCAACACTCCGGTCGTGGGCAAGGGAGACCTCCTGATGGCCAGCGCCGGCCCCAGCTACTACAACACTGTGAGTGTGAACACCCATCACTGTTGTGCTTGGTGCATGCATTGTGGGGGTCGGGTTATTGGGTTGGCAAGGCCCACCAGTCCAGCCATGCGCATTGTCGGAAGTCAGCCTTTGAATATTGTCGATGCCAGAGATGTTGCCAGTGGTGTAGTGTTTTCTGACCATCATTGGCACATTTCTTGTCTTCCAAAAATTCGTAATTCAAGCGATGATGTGGTTCAGTCAAGGGCACAATGCTTGCATATCCCACTGCCTCTCTCAGATCGCCCAGTCTTTGGTGACAGCAGGCCGCCTTTGTGCTTTGCAGGTCAATGCTATTTGTCTTGCTGCGATTCGTGCCAACACCAGAGTAGTAGCATTCACAGCTCACCAAACGGCACCGCTCCCATTTGCCGACAAAGCTGTCCGCATTCCCATTCCATTTGCCCACCCCATTCCTTCCTGTGGACACAAGGGCCCCAAATCCGAAGTTCCCAATGGCGAAGCTCACAAGATCATGCAGCTGGGGTCTGCATTTGAGGTCGCGCTGTGGATGATGTTTGAGTGCATGTGCGTCATGATACAAAGGAAGTTGGGAGTGCAGGAGGCGGATATGGTCGCTAGACAGACAAACCTTGAGGCACAGCTGATGCATTTTCATACTGAATGATATTCCTGGAGAACTGGCACATCTCCATGATCTGCAGGATACGGTGCTGTGTACAATGATGTGGAGATGAAAAATACATCTTTTTGATGCTCGGTTTGTGCCGGGCACTTGTATATTTCTCACCTTTCTGCCACAGCAAGTATGCTGCGTTTTGCCTGCCACCTGTGACACTGTTGTCATGGGCCCACTGTGGGCTTGCAACTGGTAGCCCTCACAGATGGAGAGAACGTGCGCTCTGGCTGGGGAAATAATCACATGCTTGTGTGGTGGTCTTATTGTGGTCTGCTATGCCCTGTGTGACCAGAGAGGTAAGAAATGCAGGCCTGTGTTATTCTCTGTTGTCCCTGGGTCCAGCTCTGGACCAGCATGTGATGCTGCTATTCAGGAACTGCAGACAAATTTGCACAGCAGCATTCATTGCAATGCAAATGAATCGTGTCTCCATTGGAGTTGTGATGGCTGTCAGATCGGCCATTTGACAGCAAATACTTCTAGTCCATCAGGTGCCCACTGGCAAGACTGCACGCTTCTTCTGTGCTTGCAGAAGGGCACAGACAGGCTCAGCTGCCTTTCTACGGTAGGGATCACTTTGTGAGGTATTGTCTTTCCCGACTTTGGGCCTGCCAATCGCGGTGCTATACATTGCTCCAGGCATTTGTATGATGCTTTCCTGTTCTTTCACAGTGAATCCTCAGCCCTCCTCAAAGGAGTGCTGAAGGGCTCCAGCACCACTGCCTGTCGAACGGATGGCAGCAAAAAAACATGGCAACAAAAAGTGCTCAGCAAAAAGTATCGTGTCCAGTAGCTGCTTGATTCTGATCCTGCATCCCTCAAACCCCACAGCACCTCCAAAAGGGAAATTGGCAAAAGGGGGTCCGCTGCTGGTTCGCCCCTAGTAGAACCAGGTTGCAGACCTACGCCGGTCTGCCAACGCGTCTAACGTGCAGGGGGGCGGTCAGAGGACCCTCTTTTGCCATTTGCACCCCGAGGACCCCTTTTGTCACAGAGGAACCCCTTTTGTCGAGATATCTCACAGAGGAACCCCTTTGTCATTTTCCCTAGTTACAAGAACGGGGCTGGGTCAACAAGTTGCAACTCTACCTTGTGAAAACAGCAGATCTAGCATAGAGAAGACATTGAATATGTCACTGCACATTCCTCTCGCTTTTGGGGTGGACGGAAACCAAAAATGCTCCAGCCAACCTGGCTTCCCTTATTCGACCAAACCAATGCATCGCAACTCATAACAGAACTGTGCCAATTTTAGAGAGAGCCATTCCCTTGCCATAACCACGTAGCTCATAAATATATTCCCTTTATGCTGTCACGACCATTCTGGGTCATGCCGCAGGTTTCTCGTGTTGCATTCTGGGGGCACCTCAGTACGATACGGCATTCCCACTCGAATTGGTTATAAAGTGTTCATGAATGCATCTCAAGCTTACTTTCACCTGCCCCTGCACCCAGGGGCGAACAGCGCTGTTCTTCGTGCAAGAGAAGCAAGATTAATTTTCTCTTCTTCTTTCTGTTTTTCCCATAGCAGCAGCAGTGGTTGCCCGATGGGGCCTTCCTTCCAGTCCCGTGGCCCACGTGTTTGACACGGACGTCAGCCTTGATCGTTAAGTGACCACCAGTATTACAAAACAGCGGCTAAAGAGGTCCAAATCTGTCGCTCACCGACATGCCGCGGAGCCCCCAATCGATGGATTGACGAGGGTGCCAGCGTTGGGAATTCCACTCGCTGTCCGCAGTCCCGATTCTGCTGACAGCGCAGGAGCGGAGCGCGGATCCCGGCACACCGCGGCAGCCAGCGACACCGAGGAAGGCGTTTCTTTTGCCGGAACGGCCGACCGGGGCCCGAAGGGCGGTGGCGCGGTGCGCTGGCTCACGCCCGGAGGGGCGCATCCGAGCCCCTTGGAGATGGGAGCCTAGCTGCCCCGTCCAGCGGCGATGTTGCCCGTTTGGCCGGGCGCTCGACAACTCGAGTGGACACGCAGAGAGGCTTCATGTGGGGATGACGACGCGGGGCGCTGCCATTGTGCCTGGCGGACGGAATTTTGGGGCCGTGTTCTTGTTGATCGTGCTCCTTGCACAGGTACAACAATGTTCGGGAGGATGGGGGCGATGCTGGGAGTGTTAGGTGCACGGCGCAACCTTTGCCCACGTGCCGCGGCCGCGATGGGGTCTGCAGAAGTCTGGGGCTCACGCGCCTCGTGTGATTGCCGATTAGGAAAGCTGGTTGTGAAGGGTGCAACAAGGGGTTTATGGGTCACCCGCGCTGGCAACCAGGATTCAAAATTTGGACACCTCAACTGTGTGAAATGCCGACGTGCTGGGTGACAACACGGCGTGTGTCATGGACCGAATGGGGGTGCGGTGAAAGGGAAAGTGTGAACAGTAACAGTGTGTCGCTCTGTGGAGGTGCCGTATTGTGCACCTGCTTGCCCCGTCCTTGTCATGATTGCGCGGCAAACAACTATCTGACTGCCTCAGGGGTCTACATGTCTTGCTGCTCACAGGAAGACGCGGGATTCGGGGTGAAGTGCATGGTTGGCGCAGTGCCCACAAATAGCACAGCACCATACGCCTTGCAGGGTCGAATATCATCAATCCAACCCTCATGTGTTCATCCCTGGGAGGAGACTTATATCAACGTTACAGTGGAGGGAATGCATGGAGGGCGTGCCAATATGTCATGCTATTTCTTGTCTTCAACAGCCTTTACAAAGGTGGGGATGCTCAATTTTGGAGTCCCTCTGTTGCACACGAACTTCACATAGATGATACCATTGTTGGTGGTAGTTCTGAACAATGTTCTCAACTTTGAATGTCTGTGGACAAATTGATGGCAGTTATGAGGTTGCCACGGCTCTTGGCTGCCTTTTACCTTCATGCATTCTGTGTGTGAAGCAGGTGGGATCCAACAAGGGCGACCAGGCGATGAGCAAGTTTCTTGCAGATGGTGGCCTCCAGAAGCTGCAGCAGGTGGGAACGTTCTGAAGCTGTGACGGCAGCTCTGATTCTCATGTTCATATATCATTGTGCTTTTGCCCTGTCATTACACAAGGCGTTGCACTGTCAGAAGGGTGCTGCTCCTCCCCACATGTGGATGATCCCACTGTATTTTGCCAATGCAACAGGGACGACATCAGTGTGTGTTTTATTGCAAGTTTGATTAGCTGTTGTCTTGGTGGACAAGAGCCTTTATGGGGAACTTGATCCATGTTCAATCATGTGCACCCTTGGCTAATCATCAAGTTGTGGTATCCTGGTGAACAAGAGCCTTTATGGGGAACTTGATCCTTGTTCAATCATGTGCACCCTTGGCTAATCATCAAGTTGTGGTTGGAGAACAAAGCACCTTTGCTGGGCTGTCTTGATGCAGTCTTTTGTGCACAGGCAAGCAATACAAAGGGAGCACTGCAACATGGGAATGGTACAAATCTCGAAACTTGGTCCTGTAGAGTGCCTTCCATTGCTACGGATGTCGATGTCATCCCTGTGCTGGTGGCGAACTGGGCAGAGCCGGTGGAGGGAGGTAAGAGACTGGATTGCAATGCTGTGACCTTCTGAGCGTGATGGCTTCTGTTACAGAAACGTTTGAAGTGGCCTCACATCTCTTATTCTTTGGTGTGAACCTGCTGAGTTGTGAGCATCCCCCCCTTAATTATGTGCAAGGCTCCATCACATTGTGTGCATATGCTGTGTGTTTCTCAATGGAATTTCTCTGTTTGCTGTGATCTTAGGTTGGGAGAATGTCACCATTTCTGGCACGACAGTTTCCCAGAGGATATACCGATCGGGTGTCCAGAAGATATGGCCAAGCCTGCTGCCTGTCAGGAATGGCATGGCTGTTTCATTGGAGGTACTGCTGTGTTTGTCTTGGGTGAAGTGGACACAGGCACTCAAGGCGCTGCTGTGTGCCACTGGAGTGGCAAAATATGTGTGGCATTAAACTTGACTCCATTCACAAGCTGGTTGCCTTTGTTTGAATGATGTTTGCAGCGCAGCAGGTCAGTTGGCCTCAAATATACGGCTGAAGCATCCAACACATTGGTTTATTGAGCAGCTGCAAAGATGAGGTTGACTGGCATGAGCTGTCAACATGCAGGTGCCTGAATTGCTTTGCAAGCTGTGCACACCCTATAGCCCAATCACAGTTGAGCGCTGTCGTGCATTTGTTTCTATCCAGGGCGAAGGACTTGAGCCACCCATCCAATGCATCTGCTCTGGGGGGATGAAGAGATCGTCAGCTGTGGTTGCCACACCCCACAATGTGTCCTTTGCCCGGTGCACACTCCTGGTGAGGCTCTCCTCCGTGCACTGCGGTTGCTACTCTTATTCCCTAGGCTTCGCAGCTTCCTTGAGGTCGAGTTGCACGCATAGCAGGTGTTGTAGCAACAGCGTCTCCTGGTTGTTTGTCTACAGTGTGTGGGGGGTAGGTTCGTGCAAGCATGCACTTCAGTGCTACACATCAAATGTATTCAAAAGAAGAGAGTGTGCACTAAGGGAAGGGAATATGTTGTCTTTTGCTTGGCATTATGGGCTGTTGCGAGTCTATTCCAAGCTACACTTTGCTGACTAGGACAGCACAAAATGTTTTTGTACACCCGCTGTGGTTATGGGGTGGCTTGTGGGATTGCTGCAGCACAGAATAGTAGATTGTGTCACTGCATCTATTCCAGGTGCCTTGAGCACCTCCATAAAATGGGGAAGAGGCATCCCCAGCACAGAACTGCTGCAGTTGTGAGGGTGGCATGTTTCTCTGGAAGCAGATATTCTGGGCCGAATATGCTTGAGCAAGTCTCCTGGATATGGGCTGGTTGTTTATTATTTTGGAGTGCTCTCTCTTCCCCACTGTGGTTCTCAAAAATGTAGTAGAGTGGGGTAATCTGCTTGCTGCACAAGTAGCACTGCTGTTATGCCAACCTGTTATGATCCACTGGCTGCAGAGCATCTGAAAGAAAGCATGGTTGCATTGCTAGCTAAGCACCATAGCTAGCCCCAGTCTCAAAAGTGAGCACAGAGCACACCGTGGGAGTCTTCAGGATATCATCAGCGACTGACGCTTGTTAATCTGGTTTAATCGCAGGACCCGCTTTGTTCAGAGCTCAACATCACTTGGCATGAAGGTAGCTGTGCATCTACCTTTCCGGTGGGCTTTTATGAGCGCCCTAACGTGTCAAATATATATCCTGCAACGATTCCAAGATGGGGCTTCTGTAAGTTGACTTTGGAGCTGAGCAACGTGGACCCTGCAATGCTAAGAAACCTCATGTCGTCACCAAGGTAGTATGCTGCCACGTTGTTGGTGGTCTAAACAACCTAAAGTGGGATGTTGTGCTTATTTGCACTTGACTCTGTTGTTTGTGAACAGAAAAAGAATACCTCGATGTGAAGCAAGTGTTGCTGTGTTGGGCACCCTGCTGGATTACATTTGCCCAAATATGATGAACATTGCACCTACATGGCGATGTTGGACTTAATACCATTGGCATTGTCCTAGAATGTTCATTTTCCCATGCTGTGCTGGCATGCCTTGGTTGCTACTGGTTGTGCCACATGGGTGAATGGAAGAACCTTGTGTCTTGTTGAGATGTGCTGTCAGCTGTGATAATGTCCCCTCTGTCACTCTGGAGAATGATGATTTTGTTGCCTTGCCCACGTGGGTATGCTGATAAACAGCTGTTTGTTTTGTCTTTGGAACAGCATGAGTGCTCCGCTATTACGATTGAGAGGACATGGCCATGTTGCAAAGGGCATTGAATTGGTAGGGTCCTTCAACATAACCAATGGCACAAAAGTTGAGTTCAATATTTCAACTGTACATCAACCACTGATGCAAGGTCTTCATCACGTCGAGTTTGCGCTGAATGGCATGGATTTTATCAATACTTCCAAGGTGAGTGCCTGCAGATAGTTCCTAAAATGGCAACACCAGCATATTCATGGGTCTGCTAGCTGTACATGGTGGTTGCCACCCCAACCTGCATATCCTGCCTGTGCAGATTTTTGACAATCGCAGACCAATGATTGTATCCCTGCAATGGTTATTTGGCAATGCAGCAAAGCTGCAGGCAGTTCCACGCAGTTTTGGCAGGCTTTATATGTTCAATGGTGTCCTTGTGGTGCCTAAAGTCACACTCCTACTGTTGGAGAGTTCTCAGATCCAGCTGTTGGATTTCTTTAGTTGTTGTTAGCTCAAGAGGGCTAGCTGCAGGAATGATGCAGGCAGGTGTACATTCCATCTGCCCGACATTGGACATTCCTCTGTGGCGGGCTGCTGTTTGCACCTTGCTTCTGCTCTTCATCGAATAACAGGCAAAAGGGCCATGCTTTGTCACGTTTAAATAAATATAACTGCTCGAATTCTGTTGTTCGTTTTGTATTCTGATGATTCTGGGGCTGCGATTGCTGGGTTGGAGACTCTGTGCAGCCTTTATCAGAATAAGGCCATTGCTGTAGTACATTTGGAGCGCAGAATGTGTGTGCAATTTGAGATGCTCCAGGCCAAAGTAAACTTTCGCTGGTTAAGAATGGAAGCTGACACCCGTGTGCCAATTGCCTGGCAGGTCATCAATGCGTCGGGCCCATATGTTGTGCTCCCTAAAACACGAGAGGGCCTGGAGGAGGGTGGTTCTCTGAACGTGACTGTTGAGCTCAGCGGCGCAAACAGCCTAATGCCAGTGACGGCCAAACTGAAACTCATGGCGGTGGGGAGTGCAAGCTCACTTGCAGAGCTTGTGAACATGAGCTCCACCAGCGTGAGCTGGGCAAGGGGTGAAGCGGGCCTGAAGGTTGTCAGAATTGATGCATTCCCGGAGACTGCATCCCGGTGGGCCCAAGGCACTGTTGCATTTGAACTGCAGATCGATAGCGTGAGTCATGCTGACCGCCCGTCTGCACTGAGCGATAGGACAACCTCTATTTTTTTATTGCAAAAGGGAGAGTTGCCTGTGTTCAAGGTCATCGGAAAAATGGTGAGATTGCTTTCTTCTGTGGAGTTTCCTTTGATCAAGGATATTATCTTCTGTCTTATGGAAGGCACTGAGTGTGCCTATTACCTAATCTGCCAATTTCGGTGCAATTATTTTGCTTTTATGCTGTCAGAATTTGATTTCTGCCCTGGTAAACAAGTGGCTGCCTCAGAAATGCTGTTCAATGGTTGATGATGGTTTCAAGCTTAACTGCCAGTGCCCTAATGGCCTGCTCTCTTCCTTGTGTAGAACACGACCTGAAAAAGTTGGCAGCTCAGCATCTTGTGGTGACAGTGTTCGTCAGTTGCGATATCAGGTTGTCTGTTTTGAATGGCTGGGGGCTGGAGCATGGTGCTGAGGTAGACCCTGGCAGCTAGGTAGCACAGTGGAAGCACAGGACTTTATGCACCATTGTTGTGGCTGTGAGAATCCTTGAAGAATTTTCACTGCAGTTCTGGTTGTCTTTTATATTTGGCGCAGCATGGCTTAGAAATGGAATTGCTGCAGGTTTTGTATCCAGATAGCAGTGCATATCATCACCCCCAGCATGCACTGGTGGCTCTGACCAGTGGCAGCTCTGCCTTCAACTCAACTTTGAGGTACATCATAAAGCAGTCCAGGCCTGACAAAGGTGGGTGACGCTTTTTGTTGTGTGCTTTTCTTGTTTGAAGGAGTTATTCCACTCTCAGTTTTGCACTTGCAACGCCCTGAGCTTCTCTGGGATTTGCAAGTGTCAGTGTGCAACATTCCACAATGCCCTCCACAGCAAATCTCCACATTACTCTGGCTGGCCCTGGGCGCTGTTTCACACTGTGCAATGATCGACCCACGTGTGTATTAATGTCTGCAGTAGAGATGGGATTACATTTTGCCAGACCAGGCAGGAGGACAGTCTGCATCCGTACGTGATGTCTATTAGGTCATTGCTGACTATGTCCAGTGCTGGGCTGCGCTTGAGCCAGCTACTCCTCGAGTAGGGTGCTATGTCTGATCCGATGCTGATGCTATTGTGTTGCTGCTGTTGCCAGGGCATGCACCAGTTTGCAGCACTGCTGTGGGTGTTGTTAAAGAAACCACAGGATTGATCAAGTGGCGACCAGCACAGAAGAATCTGAGTCTCCCCATCCATTTGCACTGGGGCAACATGACTTACAGCACTGAGCTGCACGTCTCCATAGTGCTTGAACCAGTGGAGGTGGCAAGCGTGTTGCATGAGGAGGTGGTTGTGCTGCATGCTTTCGGAGTGCAGAATGACTCGTGTCCTCCAGGTGAGCAGAAATGAACTGGCTAGCCAAGCTCTTGCAAGTTTTTGCGGAGCAGTGCAAAGTCTATCTGTGTCAAACAGCGAAAGCATCAAATAGAGTTGTGGCCCACCACACAACTGTCCATTTTATGTGGCTTTCTGGCACGCAGTATTCTGCAGCTGTGCTGGAGCTGTTTTGTTTGAGTTGCACTGAGAATCTTGTCTCATGAATGAAATGTGATTGACTACCTTGGGCAAGCAGTGGCTGCCAACTGGGCTTGAGAGTTAACCCTTGCTGTGGCAGGATTCAAGACCTCTTCACCAAAGCCACGAAATGTCATCGATACAGGTGGAAGATTGGTGCATGAGCTGAGCCTCAGAGGTGTGCAGACAGATGTCAGATTGTTTGTTGGTTCTGGAACACAGTGAGACAGTACAGCAGAAGCGTTGTCCTGGGCAAGGAGGTTCAGTAAGGAAGGAGATGTGCATGCTTGCTGGTGTTGTCTGTGCACTGGCCTGTGCTGTACAGGTTTGGGCCTGGATTCCAAAGAAATGTATTCTATCTCCATTGGGCAATGCCTTTCATTCTAGGGTGTTTGCACATCTCGATGGTCTGCGCACATGGTGCCCATTTTCATGCTGTGAGTAGTTCATTGGGATAGATTGATGCACACATATTGTAGCTGAGATAGTGTCTGAGCTTGTGTGCATGAGACAGGTTTTGACCAATGGGCCATTGTAAGGATGGCTGTGTCAGTTGGAATTGTAATTCTCAGCTGCCTTGCCGTGTAGATTGAAGCCCATGAACATGTGCAATGTGCATTTCGGAATTATTTGCTGGGTTGCTTGTATGGGTGCTGTGCCATACTGTGTATTCATGTTGGGATTCTATTTGTAGGGATCTCAACCAAAGTCTGTGGATGTTGTGCAAAGGGCATTCGGGGAAGTCAAGGAAGCACACGGACAAAGAACTTAATCCATCTTTTACCCCTGACCAGCACAGTTATGTTGCTTTGGTGCCGTTTGGGTTGATGGGAGCAAGGTTGGTGATCCACAGCAGGGTTGAAGGGTCAGCCATCGCTATTAGTGGCAGCGACTGCCTGGTGGACAGGGACCTCAAATGGTCTGATTGTGGGTCGGGCTGTGAGCCGGCCTCAGAGATGAGGGAGGCAGTTGCTCATGTCAGCCTGCCCAAAGACAATCAAAAAGACTGCCATTTGGTGGTAAGCTGCCTGTTGGTTCTATGCTAATGTCGCAAGCTGCCTCACCCTGAAAGACAGTTCATTGGAGATCAACTGCAAATTGGAACCTTGTTTGGGAGACATGGAGCACAGTGGCTGTTTGGTCTTTCATGTCGCTGATTGGCTGCTGCCAACCCTGCAGTTGCCACATCTGCAGGTCTAAGGTGTGCCCATGTGCATGCAGGTGCATGCCCGCAAACTGGAGACAGCCACCAACACGACCTCAGGCTTGGGCGGTTCCCTTCGTGGGCTTCTCTCCACACCCCAGCGAAACCCCAGCTTCGATGAGTACCATGTTTCCTTCCTACAATTGGGAAATCCTTCACAGGCTGAGTTGCATTCTGTAGTGCTTCGAAACGAGACCCACATGCTGGAAATGTGTGGCCCTTGGGCTGGATCTGCAGCGGACATCAAGGAGCGGCAATGGCTGGAAGATGTGCAACAGGAAGGTTCTCATGTGTTGATTCCAGGATACCCAACTCAGAAGTGCACTGTGCACAGTAAAATAATCCTTGATACACCACCTGCTGGAGACCCCCTGTGGATAATCCCAAGGCTGAAACATCCAGAGGTGCTCGAAACGACTGTGGAAGTTTATGGAGTCATCGTGCAGGGCCCTGGCAAGCTGCAGGGCAGTGCACTGAACGCTACTGAAATCCCGACTGCCAACAGGTAAGACAGCTATCATTACTGTTGCCGCTGATTCACTCTTCTGATGAGGGTGCAGCAAATCAGAAGCGAACTGTGCGTGGAATGTGCTGATTGGTTGACTCTATCAATATTGTCTCGAATGCGATGTGCTAACATACCAGTGGCAGGCTTTGGACATGTGAGTACAGAATGGCAGTTTACTCCACCTTGAAGTGCCCATTTTGCATCTGAGACTTGGTTCATCAGTGTGAATTCTGCATGCTCACAGGACAGATTTGCGTCACAGGTCCAGTGCTCCTACGATTGTTGGCACAAGGATGATGGGGCTGCCATCCTTCCGTGCGAACTTCTCCCTTGGCTTTGACATTCTTGTCACAGCTGCAGACAGGGTAACCTCAAACAGGTACCAATTTGTGCTGGGAAATGACAACAGAACCAGGGGTGAAGCTGGTCATGGACAGAGGGAGAAGAATGACAGTGTCCTTAGCCGCGACTGGGAATTGAAGGGCTGGCCAAAGTCTCCAGCACAGAATGCGCAGTGCCATGCTTGTGAAAAGGGGCACTACTCCTCAGGGGTCAATGTCCGAACATGTTCAAAATGTGCACCAGGCCATTTCGCAGACACCTACGGGAGTTGCAAATGCACGCCGTGCCCAGCAGGAACTTTCACCTACAACTGGGCCTCCGAGAATTGCAGGTGCAGCATTGGCGGCATTCTGCTTTTGCTAGCTGGCTCGACCACAGATGTGTCCTTTGTCAAGTGTTGTGGTCCTGGTGCGGGTGCTGAGCATGATGGCATATCCAGATATTTCATGTCAGCCTGGCAAAGCATGAAGTTAGACCATTTTCCCTGTACACTGCAACTGGGGTAGCTGTTACAGATGCATTGTTGCCAGTGTGCAGGGACTTTGTGTGTTCTTATCATCCACTGATGTGTGTCCTGTACATGGACAGCTGGCAGTTTCTGATCTTGCACTGTCTTGGACTTGACTGTGCTGTGGCTGCTGACAGGTCCTGCATTCTTGGGACATACACATCAGAGACTGCTTCTCAATACTGCAAAGTCTGTGAGGAGGGGTGGATGACGGATGGGGACATGCGTGACAACTGCACAGTGAAGCTGCTGCCCACAGATTTGTCAAGAGAATATGCAATAATTGTTTCCCTGGGCGTCATTCTCAATGGCAGCTCGCTGGACGAAATCCAGACCTTGAAGACCGGTTTAATTTCGGGTGTGAATGCGTCGGGGGTTGCTGTACTTGAGCTGTCAATACGAGCAGACATGGCTGGTGTGTTCAATATATCAATGGGTGACGTGTTTGTGACACACATAACAGACATGCCTGACGTGGGCCACCGTCGGCTGTTGCTCAATGTGTCCTCCACAGTGAAGGTGGATGACTCTCGATGTGTTAGTGGCACAAAGGAGGAGTGTGAAGCCGCCTTCAATCTGGCTGAGCACAAAGCAGATGACAAGCTCATTGAGGTGCAGAACAATCCTGATGCTTACCTCCAACGCACAATACAGGCAACCAATTCTCAGCGACAGGTGAGTGGCATACAGTGAACCCACTGGAAGCACATCGGTGAAGCTGCTTTGTTCAGATTGAAAATTCACTGCAGAATTGATATGGAACAAGACCACATGCCCAGGATGCTTGCTAAAGCAGAGTGCCAAGTATGCATGCTGCATTTTCCAGAGCACGCCAATTACTTATGGTGCTTGTGCTACTCAGGTGTCTCTTGAGAAAAGCGATGTCAAGAGAAATTGGCCAAGCAACAGGCGCAAGAATTTTTGGATCCGTTATGGCTTGATTGCTTTCCCAATTATGGCTGTTGGCCTGCTGGTGGTGAGTGCAGTATGGTGGTGGCGTCGCTTGACAAAGAAGGAAAGGCTTCGATTCATGGATGCCATGCCTCTGCCAAGGTCGCTACATTGGTGAGCAAGAAGTGCCTGGCAAGAACTCGTTTTTGGTGTGCTTGATTGTGTTCACTGCTGGTCTGTGTTGCCTATCTCTGTGCTCGAACAACAACGCTGAGGAGCTCTGATCGAGAATACCAAGCTCCGCTCAAAGTTTCCTGTTTGCGTGTGATCATTGCAGCAGGCCAGCACTCAGCTCATGCTTTGCTGGCAGTACGTTGAGTGTTGAATGTTCTGAGCTCCTTCTGGTTTCATTCCATATTAAGGCGGCGAACGCCCACAAACTAGCCTGGTGAAAAGGCCCTCATTATGGCTGGCATAGGTGACAGTACCATCCCATCAACAGTGTAGCTGCCAGCATTCCATTACCTAACCAAGATTGCTGTTTGTGAAGTCCAGCGCATCATGTGCATTTCTGTGGTGGTTGCATTGGGCACATGCCATTGGAAGGCAGGCACTGGCAATGCTGTGAACCAGATCTCTATTGTGTACCTGATGCCATCCTTGCTGTTCAGATGAGCATGATGTGGTGTGACGGTTGTCTAGGACATCCCTTGTGTGGCTATCACGTTGAATACATTCCGATATCCAGTGTAAAGTAGACGTTAAGCCCTTCCACATCACAATATGGCACTGGACCTTGAGCAATGTTGAAAGGGTTGCAGTGTTTGAAAACTATGCAGAACTGCCAAATGTAACACCCCTGGCTGACTCTGGACACAGCCGGGTCTGGAGCCGCCTTTAGGAATATTAGAATGTGGACCCCACAAGGTTGCAACGTAGGGTGACTTGTTTTGCTTGCGAATCAATGCACACCAGCGAAGCAAGCCACATTGCAAACAAAGCAATTGATCTTGATTATTGCTTGCTTTTGCTCACTGTGCCACAACAACGCGATAGACTTTGTTTCTCAACCATGTGGCCCTGACCCAGGTCTGTGATGCCATGAATGGCCTCCATTAGATGTGCATCAGCTGTCCCATCCAGATTGCCATCGCGGCTACCATCTCTGCAGATGCCATCCAAATGGCACAGCAAATGTGGTGTGGATCAGCTTTCAGTGGCACACACCCATTGTGGCTTGTCCCCTCCAGCTGGTTAGCGCCATCAGCATGTGTTGTTTCTTGTCCTCCCTAATGCCGCCTCATATTCAGAAGTCCCATCTCCCCACATCCCTGTTGTTTGGTTCCCATAGTGCACACATAGCAGGTGCCGGTGAGCTGGTCAGCTCCAGGCGAAACTTGACCAGCAGGATATTGTGCCCAACCTGCGCCCAGTGGACATACACTAGAATAATACTTCCTCTGTCTGGAATTAAAATGACGCCTTTTGTTCGAGAGGCCAAAAACATATCACACACTTATCTGTTCTTTACAAAATTTGACAGCATCTAGGTAACTCACGTGTGATGCTCTGGCCAAAATTTCAAGTGAAAAAATCAAGCATTGTGTTGGGAATGTTGACCTATGATGTTGAACGGGGCACGTTTATTTTCTTGGACCTATCTGGTCGATACTCCCTTAGGAGAGGCATTACGCTAGACTGAGCGACGAGAATTGGACGGCACTGATCTTATACCTAATGTGGTTACAGTACTGAGAACAGTGTTGGTACACTCATCCAACCTATTTATTGGGAACTGGACGTGGGGATGTTTGTAACTCGGTTGGCACCGGACCTGCTGGACTCGAGCCTACGGGCTCTGATTGTCTCTGCACTCTAGTCACAATGTGGTTGTGAGCGAGTCCCGAATACCTGCCTTGATTCACATTGCGCAAATGATAAGGTCTTGTAAGCTGGGAACGCGACTTTGGCCCCCCCTCAATTGAATTTTTAGAGTCTGACTCAACGTTCTTGTGTAAGTATCGACCCCTGTGATATGGGGGTTACGTGAGTGGCGGGCCTCTCAGAGTCGGGTGCTGTGGGCACGCGCTCCCCCGGGGTGGGCCGGCAGCTACAATCGAGGGCGGCCGACGAGAGGTGCGTGGCTATCGGTGCCGTGGCTGCGGCGCTCCGTGTGCTTGCACACAAGGCGCACATTTCCTGGTGCGATTCCGCTATGCCGCGGCAGCTATGGAGACCATCGCCGGCGCCGATCGTCATAGCGGTGACGGCCCGTGCCCAAACTCGTGGCTCGTCGTTGCCGTTCCTGCGAGGGCTCCAGTCGGGCCGCGGAGCGACTTCAGAGCCGTCTAGTGCTCTATTGTGGCAACCATTGGCGTAGCAACCGCGGCACCGGATGCAATCAGCGCGCCCCTCAAGGCGAAGCGTTTTGGGCCCGTGGGCCCTGGAGCGAAGTGTTGAAAAGCAGAGAGCAAGGGTGCGGCTCCCACCTGGGTCGGGGGGCGTGCTTGAGCACGAGCACGGGTGGGGCATGGACCTCTGCAATCACAATCACAGAGTGTTGTGCGCCGCCGCGACCCACCCCCGAGGGGTGGCGCCCGCAGGGTACGCCTAGGACCGCCGAAGGCAGGGAGAGAGACAATTGGAACAAGTTCATTACAATCAGCTGGCACATTCGCTAAATACAACCAAATTAAGATTTAATGTTTGGTGGGCCCATTTTAACACTATGTCAGGCAATGAATGCACCCTAAATCCCCAGAACTCTAAGACATTTCCAAGGCATCCAGCAGAAGCTAGTATCCCAAACAATGTCTCGATATCCTTAGAAATCAGAGAGAATGAAACCTACCCAATTCTTCCCAAAGGTTTAGTTCCGACAACAACATGTTGTGATCTAGAAAGTACAACAAAACAACTTATATTGAGCTAAATCACGACATCACTCCCCCCCATATGAGAGCGGTTATCCTCAGACGTAGAACCAATAGAAAGAACAAATAAAAAAATAACAACTACACCCAAGGAGAGAAAAATAGCGCCTTTGACAACTTGTAGACTGGACCCGTAAGGATTCGGCACGCCGAACGCGATTTCCCTCCTAGCTGCCAGTCACAACACCAACTGTACCTATCCCAAAGAATTGAAGAGAGGAAGGGTAACTCCTCGGAGGCACCAACACCTACTTACTCTTTCCTCCTCTAATCCAGGCTCACCATTCGGCTATAGTAATGGTTGGCGCAGGAAATCCTTAAGAAGCGAAGCAACAACCAATAGTTATGATCCGAGTGCCCAGTACACCCCAGTGTCTGGTTAACCTACCCAGCATACCTGACAGAGATATCAAATACTACCAATAAATATCTCACGACCACAACTACATCATGTTCTTCCCTCTTTTAACCTTTAAAAGTCGGAGGTGGCATCTTCACCTGCCCAGACTCAGTCCAAAATGTGGACTCCAAAATGGCAGTGCTCTCTCCTCACGAGCATAGAGAATAGGTGGATTCTCCTAATGTAGAATCCCCCATGATAATGGCGACCAAATGAGACAGATGGCAGAGCTTCGGTCAATGTATTACACTGATGGTAGGCCCCCTGGTCTAGACAAGGTGAAGTGCACTAGCAAATTGAGACAAATAGCCTATGAGGTGCCCACTTTTATAAGTGGCGTGCTCCCCCTCTCGTCACAACACCGTCAGCCTACTGTAAAGTCCAATATGCTCCTGTAATGCCAACTTCGGCCTCCTGTAATGCCACCTCGGCCCTTGGAGAGCCACTCACATGGTCCCTTGGCCCCTTGGCATGCCTCTAGTAATGCTAGGCGGATTCCCCAAGCAATACCACGTCCCTCCAATGTACCATGGCCGTAGGGGCACTTGTACCTATGATCCGATGTATTGCAGGTACCTGACAGATGCCCATGCTGCCGGATCAACCCTATAATCCCTTGGAGTGCACTTCACCACTTCTTGGCAGCTCCCATGCGCCCATGACCGCGCACTACATCATAATAGACTTTAATGTTCATAATCACACCAATTCCATTAAGGAATAATGCCCCCAATAGCCAGAAATGGGCTAAATGACCTAAATTGCTTTAATATCCTCATTATACCGAAAATTAACCCATTTAACAAGATGGATGTGGCGATCATGAGTAACACATTTGTAGACTCAAATGAACTGATCTAAATCATTTAAGTCATCTAATTACCCGTCAAAGTACAACACAATGTCCAGTCACTACACCTAAACTGGGAGGAGGGCCATTAAAACATGATCAGTTCGCCGTTCCTCACATAGGAACACCTAGTGAATAGTTCCTTTTGGTGTCGCTATCACAAAGTAGACTACCAATCCAAACAGGTACCATCTCAGACCCCCAAAAAAGGCGCCAGCTTAAGATTGCATCATGCTAACCACGTCCTCGCTACCACCGCACGTACAGCATACCCCCATGGTGAATACACTTAGGCTGCAGCACCGTGGACAATTCAAGTGATCACCTATGTTGCACATTCTTGAGCTATAAACTGCGCAACCGATCCTGAGTCACCAAGGATCACGACTGTCCAATCTGGCTGGCAAGCTCCAGTGCTACTATCAAGTCTGCACAATGCCAACCAACCAATGGCAACCGCTGAACACCTCAGGTTAACCCCTCCTAGTGAACAATTGGGAGGTGTTGCATCTTCCACTACTCCAACCCTCCAGGTCAATAGATCCCAATCTAAAGACCTCGACCTCACACCACCACATGACTCTTACGGGACTTGGTGCTTGTTGTTGTTCGTTCACAAGATATGGGGTATGAGAACTCCTTTTCTTTTCCCCCAAATAAAATATCTCTCTTAAATTCATGCCTAACATTTGCCTTTGTACCGCTGATTGCTCATGCTCACCCACTCATTATCTCTTCTTCCACACTAACCCCACACCATCCTTGACCACCTTTAATCCCCACAATGTCCATTATTGGCCAAATGCTCCTGGGAACCCGCGCTTTGCTCGTGCTGTCGCTCTTTGGTGGTCAGTGCCCGAAGGCCGCTCCGCCGGTCCCCGGTGCCCAAAGGCTCACGACAACCTCGCCTGTAGTGATGCTCCACCATTGCTCCTGGTCGTGCTAACTCGTTGTCCACAGACTGAGAGGTTTGACAGGCCTCCACAGTCAT